CTACCTACCACATACTCCCACAAACACAAATACCACAACTCAATCCCTCTACACTAAACAACATCACACGCAACAATCACAAATAACAACATATCAACACCACACTCACACTTTAGACAACAACACTAATGTTGCAATATCATCATGTGGAAATAATTCCAACACTATCATATCGCATGTCTATTTCGCACACAGTTAACACTGCACACGTGGACGTATAACCGAATGCAGCTGACTCTGATGTGCACTCAACAAACATCAACCAAACAACATAACCAATCAATCAACCACTCAAACAATCACCACCTACCACAAATACACACATATTAACTAATCACAAACAACACAGATACACAAACATCCACTACACAATTACACACAATCATGTATCCAGATTGGTTCACACACATGTCCAGTATACAAAACATGTGTAGATCGATCAGGACTCATCCATTTCCCCCACAAAACATAAGATCAACACTAAGTGTGATCACTCGATCATGGGGCAACAACCATACCACTACAAACACATTCACTACCTACCACATACTCCCACAAACACAAATACCACAACTCAATCCCTCTACACTAAACAACATCACACGCAACAATCACAAATAACAACATATCAACACCACACTCACACTTTAGACAACAACACTAATGTTGCAATATCATCATGTGGAAATAATTCCAACACTATCATATCGCATGTCTATTTCGCACACAGTTAACACTGCACACGTGGACGTATAACCGAATGCAGCTGACTCTGATGTGCACTCAACAAACATCAACCAAACAACATAACCAATCAATCAACCACTCAAACAATCACCACCTACCACAAATACACACATATTAACTAATCACAAACAACACAGATACACAAACATCCACTACACAATTACACACAATCATGTATCCAGATTGGTTCACACACATGTCCAGTATACAAAACATGTGTAGATCGATCAGGACTCATCCATTTCCCCCACAAAACATAAGATCAACACTAAGTGTGATCACTCGATCATGGGGCAACAACCATACCACTACAAACACATTCACTACCTACCACATACTCCCACAAACACAAATACCACAACTCAATCCCTCTACACTAAACAACATCACACGCAACAATCACAAATAACAACATATCAACACCACACTCACACTTTAGACAACAACACTAATGTTGCAATATCATCATGTGGAAATAATTCCAACACTATCATATCGCATGTCTATTTCGCACACAGTTAACACTGCACACGTGGACGTATAACCGAATGCAGCTGACTCTGATGTGCACTCAACAAACATCAACCAAACAACATAACCAATCAATCAACCACTCAAACAATCACCACCTACCACAAATACACACATATTAACTAATCACAAACAACACAGATACACAAACATCCACTACACAATTACACACAATCATGTATCCAGATTGGTTCACACACATGTCCAGTATACAAAACATGTGTAGATCGATCAGGACTCATCCATTTCCCCCACGAAACATAAGATCAACACTAAGTGTGATCACTCGATCATGGGGCAACAACCATACCACTACAAACACATTCACTACCTACCACATACTCCCACAAACACAAATACCACAACTCAATCCCTCTACACTAAACAACATCACACGCAACAATCACAAATAACAACATATCAACACCACACTCACACTTTAGACAACAACACTAATGTTGCAATATCATCATGTGGAAATAATTCCAACACTATCATATCGCATGTCTATTTCGCACACAGTTAACACTGCACACGTGGACGTATAACCGAATGCAGCTGACTCTGATGTGCACTCAACAAACATCAACCAAACAACATAACCAATCAATCAACCACTCAAACAATCACCACCTACCACAAATACACACATATTAACTAATCACAAACAACACAGATACACAAACATCCACTACACAATTACACACAATCATGTATCCAGATTGGTTCACACACATGTCCAGTATACAAAACATGTGTAGATCGATCAGGACTCATCCATTTCCCCCACAAAACATAAGATCAACACTAAGTGTGATCACTCGATCATGGGGCAACAACCATACCACTACAAACACATTCACTACCTACCACATACTCCCACAAACACAAATACCACAACTCAATCCCTCTACACTAAACAACATCACACGCAACAATCACAAATAACAACATATCAACACCACACTCACACTTTAGACAACAACACTAATGTTGCAATATCATCATGTGGAAATAATTCCAACACTATCATATCGCATGTCTATTTCGCACACAGTTAACACTGCACACGTGGACGTATAACCGAATGCAGCTGACTCTGATGTGCACTCAACAAACATCAACCAAACAACATAACCAATCAATCAACCACTCAAACAATCACCACCTACCACAAATACACACATATTAACTAATCACAAACAACACAGATACACAAACATCCACTACACAATTACACACAATCATGTATCCAGATTGGTTCACACACATGTCCAGTATACAAAACATGTGTAGATCGATCAGGACTCATCCATTTCCCCCACGAAACATAAGATCAACACTAAGTGTGATCACTCGATCATGGGGCAACAACCATACCACTACAAACACATTCACTACCTACCACATACTCCCACAAACACAAATACCACAACTCAATCCCTCTACACTAAACAACATCACACGCAACAATCACAAATAACAACATATCAACACCACACTCACACTTTAGACAACAACACTAATGTTGCAATATCATCATGTGGAAATAATTCCAACACTATCATATCGCATGTCTATTTCGCACACAGTTAACACTGCACACGTGGACGTATAACCGAATGCAGCTGACTCTGATGTGCACTCAACAAACATCAACCAAACAACATAACCAATCAATCAACCACTCAAACAATCACCACCTACCACAAATACACACATATTAACTAATCACAAACAACACAGATACACAAACATCCACTACACAATTACACACAATCATGTATCCAGATTGGTTCACACACATGTCCAGTATACAAAACATGTGTAGATCGATCAGGACTCATCCATTTCCCCCACAAAACATAAGATCAACACTAAGTGTGATCACTCGATCATGGGGCAACAACCATACCACTACAAACACATTCACTACCTACCACATACTCCCACAAACACAAATACCACAACTCAATCCCTCTACACTAAACAACATCACACGCAACAATCACAAATAACAACATATCAACACCACACTCACACTTTAGACAACAACACTAATGTTGCAATATCATCATGTGGAAATAATTCCAACACTATCATATCGCATGTCTATTTCGCACACAGTTAACACTGCACACGTGGACGTATAACCGAATGCAGCTGACTCTGATGTGCACTCAACAAACATCAACCAAACAACATAACCAATCAATCAACCACTCAAACAATCACCACCTACCACAAATACACACATATTAACTAATCACAAACAACACAGATACACAAACATCCACTACACAATTACACACAATCATGTATCCAGATTGGTTCACACACATGTCCAGTATACAAAACATGTGTAGATCGATCAGGACTCATCCATTTCCCCCACGAAACATAAGATCAACACTAAGTGTGATCACTCGATCATGGGGCAACAACCATACCACTACAAACACATTCACTACCTACCACATACTCCCACAAACACAAATACCACAACTCAATCCCTCTACACTAAACAACATCACACGCAACAATCACAAATAACAACATATCAACACCACACTCACACTTTAGACAACAACACTAATGTTGCAATATCATCATGTGGAAATAATTCCAACACTATCATATCGCATGTCTATTTCGCACACAGTTAACACTGCACACGTGGACGTATAACCGAATGCAGCTGACTCTGATGTGCACTCAACAAACATCAACCAAACAACATAACCAATCAATCAACCACTCAAACAATCACCACCTACCACAAATACACACATATTAACTAATCACAAACAACACAGATACACAAACATCCACTACACAATTACACACAATCATGTATCCAGATTGGTTCACACACATGTCCAGTATACAAAACATGTGTAGATCGATCAGGACTCATCCATTTCCCCCACAAAACATAAGATCAACACTAAGTGTGATCACTCGATCATGGGGCAACAACCATACCACTACAAACACATTCACTACCTACCACATACTCCCACAAACACAAATACCACAACTCAATCCCTCTACACTAAACAACATCACACGCAACAATCACAAATAACAACATATCAACACCACACTCACACTTTAGACAACAACACTAATGTTGCAATATCATCATGTGGAAATAATTCCAACACTATCATATCGCATGTCTATTTCGCACACAGTTAACACTGCACACGTGGACGTATAACCGAATGCAGCTGACTCTGATGTGCACTCAACAAACATCAACCAAACAGCATAAGGAATGTCAGTCAGTCTATCCGTCTATGCGTTCATCAATGACAACGAATGAACAGCAGTGCCTGAATATTTAAGTGATGTCATTTATCTTATTTGGCTTACGTTGTTTAATATTAATCGTGTTTTTTCGATAATTCCTTGTTATTTATGATGAAATCGTTATTGGTACTGATTTTGGTATTTCACTGTTATTTATTTTTTGTCGTGTTGAAGCTGTTTCATATTAGTTCATTTGCTGTCGATTGTAACGTACTTTCCATGTTGTTTATAATGACTCTGATGACTTCAGCTGTCGCTCTGGCGTCGTCTATTACCGCAGGAAAGTGAAACTGTGTATTGAGAGTGTGATTGTTTTTTTTAATTATGGAGAGTGAAATAGGAATTTATATTGCTTGTTAGAAAAATTAAGGTCATTGAATAACGAAAAATTTTTAATGTTAACTTACTCTATCAAAGTATTGCCAATTCGCCAAGTTTTTCAAAAGTTCAAACCGACTTTCTAATGTTTGAGTTTTACATTGAATTACCTAATTTTGCTTCAGGTTTAAATAAAGAATCAGAACTTACTGATTTCACGAAGTCATAAGGATTGTATCTTGTAGATACAGACTGTAGGAAAACGCAACATAAGTTGAGCACGTCTGGTGATGAATAACAGTTGTTCAAAGTTATAAGGATCTAGATAAAAGAAAATTATAAGCCACAAATAAACATCTACTTGGTAGCCAATGAGTATGTCATGTTACTTGGACCAAATTACAGAGTTCAATTTCAGTAAATAGGAAGTTCATAGAAATCCATGAGTTAACTGCAAGCATTACTGTCAGGGAATAAAAGTTGGTTTATTTTGACTACAGGGGTTAATACCTTTGTTGGGATATTCAGGGAAATATCCCAAAAATTATTCTGTTAAGCCTAGTGCTATCCTTGGACATGAAGCGGTATCATTTTACTGGTCAATATTTATTTAACGTGTCATTTTCCTACTGGTTAATATTGTAGAATGTTATTTTCTATTTTATCGTACGATGTGGTCTGCTTGATTGGTATATAAACAAAGTATGTTTGAAATATAATGATTCATACATCCGAGGCTGTGACTTGCGTTCTGGACTCGACTGCTGGGCTAGATAGGGAAGCGGGACCAATCAGAACCCTAGGTCGTTCTACGTGTCTGCGCGTCTTTGGTCCGATCGATAATTCGCTACCCTTTTATCTGCTGCCGTCACAGTTATAACAACCTTTGTAAATATAATGGAAACTTTTGACACAAACGGCTATCACTAATGAGCTGAAACAATTATTTTATCCCACTTTAACCTGGGCAGATATAATCAACATAGCGAGAGAACGGGAAGATAATAACCAGCGCTCAAACTGGGTTGGCAGATACGAGGAATGTGATGAGTGAGGAAAAATCCTAAAGTTAGAGAACATAGACCATAGGATCCTGACGAATTAGGTGATGTTGTAACCAATATTTGATTACTAGCTATCATGCACTTGCTTATTCTGACGATGGCCAACAGTTCTGTGGACTAGACCTGTAGGTCAAGGCTTGAGAAAATGATCCAAGAAAATCATTTATTTCGATATAAGAACCCGGACAGTATCCTAGAGCATGCACTAATATGAAGACGCTTTTGCTCTGCATGGCTGTTTATGCAGACAACATTTGCAATCGCCTAGTTCCACACAAATTCCTCATATTCATACTTTTTATTTTGAATGCTTTTACTTTTATTTTCCAACTTAAATTTTGTTATTAAATACTCGAAAGTATGAATATTACCACCGAATACTGAATAGGGTTTTCCGAAACCACGTGCACCATTTAATTTGGCCTCCAACGATCGGACACTGATGCAGTTCAGACAACAGGTGGGTTTGACTGTATCTTAGTAGTCTTAGCTTCGATACATACTATTTGTACGAGACCGTATTCAAGACAAATGATGTTACATACTTGCTTCTTATTTGTCAACTCGAAAAGCTTGTCCGCTGATCTCGTCATGATATTAGAGCTGTCGTGACATTAATCTATGATCAAAGCGATCAGTGATGTCTGTGTAATAGCTCAGTGAAATACCAACGCTAGCAAATCTGGATAAAGATACCACAGGATCCTGGGACAGCCAGACACAAAACAAACTTTTCACGTAAACAGATTAGTCACAAACCTGCAGCACTACACTGGTCTTAAATACGGTATCGAACAAATATCAGGCAAAGTACAAATAATTCAAGAACAGATAAATTACCGGATTAACTATAAGAAGCTATTATTAAGTTGTTTTAAGATAACAAACCAAACTTTTATGTATCAACATTTTGCTTATTTGTGACTGGTACTACATTTGAAAGGTAGCAGAGAATAAATAACTGCGTAAAAAAGAAACTGACCTTGCTAATATTTTCTTCAAATAAAGACATAAATTCAGATTTTGCAAGTGACTGGATGAAACTAGTCAGAAGTGTGAGATATTCGCGAAAATACTGAAGATTAGGAGAAGCTGATAAGCGCTGGCATTGACGGGTCAAATGTTGAATGACGTAGTTTATTTGTTCAGAAGATGGAGACCGCTTTACCAATTGTGATAGTGAACAACTAACAGCAATAACGCTTTTCGAAACTGAACAGCAGTCATTCAGTGGACTTGTCATCTTCATGGAGGCATTGCTAACATCTGGTGGGTTATTTTCGTTTTTGTGGCTATCAAAATCCAACTGTACAGATTGTTTACTATCGCAGCTAAACAGAGAATCTAATAAACAAGGAAGAATCTAACAATTCCAAGATGTAAAATGTATTACCTCCAAAGAAGTCGTATGCACTTTTTCACCGACACCTGACAACATTTCTACTAACACAGCTCCAAGGCACTGAATATAATTTTTGAAAACTTCAAAATTAAATCAAACCTCAGGATTTTCAATCGTTTCTTCCAAAATATGGAACAACGCAATTTTATCCCCAAACTTTCTGAACAAAAAGGCTAAACATTCAGCTGTAAACCTCGGGATGTCAGAAGAGCAGTGAGATAGCAAGGGCAGAAAGCACCTAATTTGACTGATAGAATAAGAAATGACAAGTACTTTAAAATTTTCCGAATGTTCTTAACCATGGGTCGATGTAAGAAATAAACCAAATGTGACAAGCAATCGAAACAATGAGCCAGAAACTCTGCATTCTTCGAATTTCTTATTATAGCCCCAACAACCAGAGGTAAAAAATCATCAATGTGGTTGAAAAAGTCCTCCCTAATATCACATGCCAAATTAGCGACTAGACTACAAAAATATCATATAATATCACGAACTAACTCTAAAGCCGGTGGCAAAGAAGTATCACCTAGCTGTTCCCAAAATGTTTTCAGCTCTTGACAAATTAAATCCTAGGAAACATGGGATTAATAACAAAAGAATTACTTGATGAAAAATAATTAACTTCAAGCTTAAGACGTATGGAGCGATCTTCCTTCGAAATGCAACTGAAAGCTACAAAGAACCGCTTGAATACTTACTGAATTGTTCACTTGAACTATTATCTGTCCATTTCTCAACGGCTGAAGCAAAATAACTATCTAAAGAATCCTGAGAAAATGTATAACTTGTTGCCTCAACTTACCTCGCCATCAAAGTGATTGGTTTTAAATGATACAACAACCTTCCTCTTAATTTCATCTCTATATCTCATAAACTAAATCATTAAGAAATCATATTCTTGACATACACGAAATGTATTGTCACCTTTCATAGCATGCCAGTTAGTAACGCACGGCTTGACTGATGCGCCTACCAAAAATTGAAAAGATGCAAATGGTTCAAATGGTTGTTGACGGAATAGAAGAAGCTTTCGCTTAACAGGCTTCCGTGTCTAGTAGCAGGGGATCACCAAATCCTTCATGAAGGATCCTAGGTATGTTAACAATAAAACAGGAAAGGAAATTGATAAATCATAGTGCGATACTATCCTTAGTCCTTAAGAATAGATCAAGTTGCCTCTTAAAGGACTCCTGGGAAGTCGCTTGGACTAGCTCGGCCGGCAGCGAATTCCAGCATTTGACAACTCTTGAGGAGCAGAAGTTGTGTCTGTATTCCGTTCTGCTATGTTGTGTCACCAGTTTTTGGGTGTTACCCCTTAGGTTAGTGTTGGAACTAAGCTTGAGTAGGTGTTTGAGAGGATGTCCAGAAGTGTTAAGGATACTGTAAGCCATCAGAAGGTCACCTCTAAGACGTCTATACCCTAATGGACAAAGATTAAGTGAATGGAGGCGCTCTTCGTAAGGTTTAAATTTGAGTCATCGAACCGATTTCGTGGCTCGCCGTTGAATACGCTCCAGGGTGTCCTCATCCTTTTGGAGTGAGGAGGGAAATACTATGTTTCCGTACTCTAAATGGGGACGGATAAAACTATTGAAGAATATGTGGAAATTTCTTCCGTCAAACTGGCCAAAAATGCGCCTCAATGTTACCGGTGCAAGGTTTGCTCGGAAGGCACTTTTGTCACAGATAGCGTAAGACTTTAAATCGTAGGGCACCAAGACTCCTAAATCTTATTTGACTTGAGATACTACTAGATGGGAATTACCTGAGTTATAACTGTAGTCTGCGACATGTCGCAGATGGACTACTTTACACTTTGAAGTGTTAAAGGTAAGTCGGTTATCGTCTGCCCAACTTTGAAGTCGAGTCAGATCCTCCTGAACTGCCTGTATATCGTCTTGGTTGCGTATCTCTCTCCAAAGTTTCACGTCGTCGGCAAAAGGTAATAAGTCTGACGTTACCTGTTGAGAAGGATCATTTATGTAGATCAAGGAGAAGAGGTCCTAGTACTGAGCCCGGCTGCAATTAAACGCAACTCAATTTCGTAAATGTGCTTTTCAGCTTAGCAACCAATCAGAATGTGGCGGGAATTATTATATCAGCCATCTTTGTACGGAATGGCGGCCGGCTATCTTCGTCCTGTGCTTCGTTTAGCTATTTCTTTTGTGTAGCTATGTAATTAATGTTTCAATGTGCTAAGATGCCGCAGTTAGTGTTATGTTCTATATGTTGGTGTGAAATTTACGTCGAATCAGCATTGTTTTTTGGGTTTTTGCTGCTTCTACTCTAGTCAATATATTTCTTCAGTCAAGCTGGTTAGTCTTATGTTTTAAAATGAATGTCGGTTTTGTTTTGACTTGTTTTCTACATATTCAAAGCCGAAGTTCGTTTTTTCGTAGCTGAAATAACTGTTGCTGCATCCTGTGACTAACTGTCCGCATGTTCATTTCTAACTGTCCTTTATGATATTATCGGCAAAATGAAAGGAAACAATTTCCGGTTTTTAATTTTCTTCAGTATTGCGGACAACAATATCCCACCAACGAGTCAAACTAATACTTAGTGCCTAGCAGTAGGGGATGTCAGTATTGTTTTCGAAAGTACCCAGGCTTCCGACAACCACAGATGCTACCAATCTATTGCAGAGGGTTTGTCATGAAAAAATATGCCACATAGCAACAATGGAGGGGTTGTACGCATTACGTAGTGCGTTAAAGCAAGCTTAACATTGAAAAGCCGGAAATCTGCTATCAGTGTGTAGTGTATGTTTGGTGTTTTGGCCAGAAAAGGAAGCCGAAGGGTCATGATCAGAGAGTAAAAAGGTAACTAACTGTTATTAAGCTCACCTTTTTATAGGCCGTAATTCACCACTCGCAAATTTGTGTTTTGTTTACGGTATGGTGTCAACCGTTATCTAATATGTTCACTCTTACGATGAAAAGTACTTGCAAATTCTCACCTTCATATTCGAATTATTTTGGGACAACTGTCTCCCAATTTGAGTGCTTCGTACGCCCTGGGAGACTAGATTCCTACATTAATCACAGTTCCAGTATAACTTTCTCACGCAGTAAGTTCAAAGTAGACACTAGTCTTTCTAAATAAGCATGTTAAGCTAATATCCGTATTCTCTATTTCGGTTGATCGACGAAGACATGTACCACGTGCATCTGTTGTATATTGCTATTTTACTCCAATCCTAACTGTTATATCTTCTGAAAAATAAAATTGCTATATGCAGCAAATACAGACTTATTGTTTTGATGGTGGTAGGGGGGTTCATGGGTTTTTTAGCAGGACTGTAGTAATATTCTCACCAAGGAGCTAAGTGAGTGCGTAGACCAATGTAAAGTACCATACAGGGTGCCTTTGAATTACTCGTGTTCCATTAGTGTCGGTAGAAGCATTACTTGCTTATCATATGACACTTGAATAAGAAGCTATGAGATTAAACACAGGGACGGTTCGGATGTGTAACGCGTATCCATCCATCAGTTTTCGTGGCAACTCATGGTGGATAGGATAAATTGTGAGAGGATCCGAGCCTGTAGGCTTCCCAAGGAAGTGACGGAGATGTGCACCAAATCACCTTATGAAGAGCGCCTCCAATCACTTGACCTCTACTCATTAAAGTATAGACGTCTTAGAAGTGACCTATTTACTTACAGGATCCTTAATACTTCTGAACATTCTCTTAAACACCTATTTGAGCTTAGTCCCAGAAACTAGAGACACGACATAGCAGAATGGACTGTAGACGCAACTTCTACTCCTTAAGAGTTGTCGAATGATGGAATTCGCTGCCCGCCGAACTAGTCCAAGCGACTTGCCAGGAGTCCTTTGGGAGGCGACTGGATCTTTTATTATTAACACACCTAGGTTGCTGCTTAAAGGTTTCGGTGATCCCCTGCTACTAGACACGAAAGCCTGAACATATGAATTAGGTGATGAGAGGCTCGATTATCACAAGTTTCTTGCAACGATTAAGTAGATAAAACAGTAGCATTAGGTTCAAAAATTTATTCGAGAACTTTCATTAAGAATCGGATATGAAACAAAGGTATAAACCAAGTTCCAGTCTAAAAGTTGCATTGGTAATGTTAAGCTGCAGTTTTTGTTGTTTTTTCCAAACGAAAGGGTAAAAGAAGTAACTCAAAAAGTACTGGAAGTGGTTGTGAGATTAAAATGGACATCCAGCATCCTTTTTATAATCTGCTGTTAGTTGGGTCTCCCGTAAACAGATCCTTAGGGCCATAGTTCTAAGGGCGAAACAGTTCTTAGGATCTGTGATGACTCAGTCCTGTTGCATTCTAAATGAGAAAACAGTAATGAATTTAGTCAGAAATGTGGAATAGATAAATAACCAAATTACATGTTTTTTAGCAAAGAATTTATGCAGTTGTGATTCACCTTTAGTTCATGAATATTAGGTCAGGTCAGCTACTACTTGCGCAAAGCATAACATGGACTTAATACCGTATCTCAATGCTTTTATTATTTTGCTCTCATTTAAGTATTACCATGTATCTGCATCTAGTTTAACAGGTAGACATACAAGCAGAGTTAGTGTTTGATGAACTAAAAGTCCCAGTTGCCAAAAAGATTCTTAACATTTGTCCACAACCAACTGCATTTAATTGAGATACAGAACAGTCATCTTCTAAGACTGTATACTGCTCTTCTGCAGGCAAATAAAAGCTCACACACTTAGCTATCCTGCTACCAATGTTATTGCTGGGGAAATTGTTTAATGACAGTGATCATGAAGTATGGTCAGTGATAGATGTGCAATCTAGAAATAAACACCAAACATACTTATCGCTATCTTATAATGTATGACAGCAGCAGTACCAAAAGTACTTTTTTCCTATTTTTAATCAGACTGATTTGAATCAGTATGCTCATCAGAAACAGGCAACTCTACTTACTAGACTGATCTGTTTCGTTACAGACTTCAAGCACTATACTTAAGTATACCACAATTCTTTCAACTAAACTGAATTGTACGACAACCAAGAATACTAAACTAAGCAAGTGTCATATTTATTGTTTCATTTGCACAGGCATATTGCTTAAAGTATTTAAATGGACATAATTAAGACGATAAAACAAAAACACGAAATATAGGCCATTTGAACTTACCGAACAGAAGACAAAGAATATATGTATTGCTTCCCGACTGAAGACAACAGGCAGTTGTTCATAAAAACATAGTTTATAGTACAATAAACCTTTCTACAGTAAAATCATGCACTGACAGTCTATCTGGAAACAATCAACTATGTGAATAAACTCACTATGACTTGAGATATCATCCCAGCGTGCAATGGACGTGCTGTGTAACGCAGTCAAACGTGGCGAATAAAAATATAAAAAAAGATCAACATTAGCTATATAATCTAGTTATTTAATTAAAAATACATTATGAAATGACAAAATCTGTGGTTACTTGGACGCACAGATGACCGATACATTAAGTTTACATGGTTGCGTTGCGGATAAGATCACCCACTGAGCCCTGGGGGACCACGATAGGACATTCCATAGCCTGAGAGAAAGTGAAATTAACCCTGACCTTAAAATGTCGATTTTTTAGATATGAACTAAGCCAATCGATTAGAGGCTGTCTGATACCCAATCTTTTGAGCTTATTGATAAGACATGTATTGTTAACCTCATCAAAAGCTTTTGGGAAATCTAGGTAAATGATATCAACTTTCCCCTTGTGGTCAAGGATGCTTGTCCCTCTGTCCACCGCAGTCAGCAGGTTGGTGATACAAGAGTAACCCTTCCTGAAACCGTGCTGTTGGGGTGAGAAGAAATTTAAGAACAGTAAATAGTCGTTTAAACCATCGCATATCAGGGACTCCATGAGTTTTGAGGGTAACAACAGAAGAGCCACCGCCCGGTAACTTCAAGGTTCATTGCGTCGACCATTTTTGAAAATTGGTGTGATGTGAGTCAGCTTC